ACCAAACTCTTCAAGTTGCCCAAACCCCTGCGCTCAGGCGCCCCAACCACACGCGCTGGACTCGTTTCTGCCTCAATCATCCTCAAGGTAGCCTTCGGGCTCGTCTGCAAGACCAAGAATGGATACCACCGATGGCCCAGCACTCGGGACTATCGTCACTACTGGGCAAGGGAAGGGCGTGGTTCGCTTCTCAGGCGCAACCGCGTTCTCCAAGGGAAAATGGGTCGGTATAGAGCTCTACGAGGGGAATGGAAAGAACGATGGCTCTGTCCAAGGCGTGCCGTACTTCAGCTGCAAGATGGGCTACGGTATCTTCATTCGGGCCAGCCAAATCAAGAGCACCCATGGCCCAGAGATTGAGGTGCGTCTTCACCTTCATTGCTAGCTAACAGATATACTGACTCTTTCTAGCGGCCACCCCCCACAGTTCGTCCTGCTGTAGGTCACCAGCGGACAAATTCAGGTCTCTTACGAGCGAACTCTTTACGCACGCCACCTTCCTCTAATGCCTCTAATGCCTCTCCTCGCTCAACAAGTCCAACGAAACCTGTCGCCTCATCATCCTCAGCGGCACCTAGTTTGACCACTTTGCGCATGCCGAAGCAGGCCGGGTCTCCGACGAAGCGTAACTCCCTTTCACTCCAGCCCAGAAAGTCGTTCCCCATCTCCCAGTCCCCATCAGAGGACCACACGAACTCGCCAAGCCCGAGTTCTCCAACTCGGATGAAAGGGTCTCCCAACGGTCAAGTACCGAAGCGGACATCTTCACCTTTGTCCAGCCAAGCACCGAGACGGACTTCTTCGCCCTTATCACTACCACCTGTCGGTGTTTCACCTCCAACTCATGCATCACCACGTCCGCCTCCCGTATCATTCCAAGTCACATCCCCAGAACCAGCAAGACCGCCTTCCCGCCCCCCATCATCGTTGCGAAATCCTTTGGTGCGTGATTCGTATCTTACTCTTAACACTATATTCAACGCCGTTGCAGAAGGTGCAAGAGCGCATTCAAGATGACCAAGAGCTCCAAGAACTACGCGCCAAAATTCGCGTTTTGGAAGCTAAACGCGCTGACGACTCCCGCCACGTCCAAGAGCTCGAAACGCGCCTATCTGAAGCAGAATCCTTCGTCGCCCTGCGACCGAAGCTGCAAGCGAAGCTCATGTCTCAACAAACCGAACTTGCTAGTGCTAAACGGGAACTTGCAGATGTCCAGCAGCTGTCCCAGTTGACCGAGACGCGACTGCTTGATTCGCAGGAACAACTAGAGATGGCGATGTTGGACAAAGAGGTTGCAGAGGAACGTGCTGAGCTAACGGAGGCTGAGCTGGAGGAGGTGAAGGAGAAGCTGGCGGTGGTCGAGGTGGAAATAGGTGTGCTTAGAGAAGGCGGAGGTGAATATGTTCCTGTTCGAGAATGGAACCAAAGCTCAATGCCTATTGCATTTGTTAGGCGAAGGAGATGGCGGCTCATCTGGCAAGGATACACTGGCTTATATTCAGCTCGAGAAACAAAACGAGAGGCTAAAGGAGGCTCTCATCAAGTACATTGGCAATCGTTTCGCGTCTCATAGACTACAACTGATGTGGTGAAATAGACTACGCGATATGACACAAGAAACCGAACAGGACCAGCGCAGACGGATTACAGAGATGGAGAAGGACATCATAGGTGTCGACGACCTCCAATGTGCGTCATTTCTACTTCCTCGATTTGTCTGGTCTGACCGCCGCACAGCGCAATACGAATCTTCCCTCATCAAGTTGTCCAACGCCGAAATCCAAATCGAAGACTTGAAGTTGCAACTCGACGACGCTCTCGGTGCTGAAGAGATGCTGGTACAGTTGACGGAACGTAATCTTATGCTTGGCGAGGTAACCTTACTACTTCCGTCTTCTTGCTTGATCTCACAAATCTATCTAGAAAATCGAAGAGATGCGCATTACCATTGAAGACCTCGAAGCCCTGAAGGAACTTAGCGACGAGCTCGAAGAGAACCACGCGGAAACCGAGAAGCAGCTTCATGAAGATCTCAGTAAATCATTTTTCTCCACCCTGCAGGGTCCCTCCTTCTCACCCTGTATTCAGACCAGAAGGATGTCCAGATCCGCGAACAGGCTCTCAAGATTGAAGCTTTGGGAGATGCATGCCAGGATCTGGAAAACACCATCAGCCAATTCAGGGAGCTCGTCATGCAGTTGCAACAGTATGTCACCCCGCCATATTTCTAAATCATGGCTTGTCTGACTTTGCATATCCTTTAAGGGAACTTGACGATCTCAGGACACAGACGCAAACGGCCCAGAACGAGTCAGCTACAGCGGCATCACAGACAGCAGCCATGATGTCCCTGAACCTCAAGTTGCAGTCGTCGGCTTCGAAGAACCTGGCAAAGAACATCGACCTCGAGATTCGAAGCTTGGAGGCTCGGGAAACCAGGGAACTGCTCAGCATTGTTCAGGTATGCTATCCGTTTCTGCTTGTCTCCGTAGGCCTGGCTGATGCCTTGCGTAGCCGTATCTGCCAGAACTATATGTGGATTCCGATACAGACGCTACGAACTGCTATCTCTTCTTCCAGCGGCTGGCGTACAAGGCTGATCTCATCAACACTGTTGTGGCCCAAGCACATGGTCTGCCCGATTCACTCAATGGTTCTGTCTCTGAAGTACTCGTTGGTGTTTGCGAGGTCAGTGACCGACAAGATCCGATGGCCATTTTCATCTAATTCTGTTTCATTCAAAGATGAGAGCACGTATTTCCGGACTATCCACTCTATGCAAACGCTTCGCTGCCATTCTGCGACGCTGCGACGTGGAGTCCTTCCTCAACATCGGCCGAATCTTCCCAGAGATCGCGCCCATGGAGAAGCGGCTGGACATGCACATCAATCTCCTGCGTAGGGATGAGTTCCGCGAGATGGAGTGTGTCAGTGATATCGTCAAGTATGTTTTTGGTCCTTCTTTTGACTGTTGCGGGTTTGTTGAGCTATCGATAGGATACAGGCACAGTTTGATCACCTTGCGGAGACCTACTTCGATGGCTTCGAGCATGACTTGGGTGAACGAGAGCTGGGCTACGTGCTGTCGTTTGACCACGATCTTGATATGTTCTCCGCGTCCATTGGGCTTGCGAAGACGTCTGTGCAGTCTATTCTCAAGGAAGAAGGTACCTCCGTCATATCTCAAGGAGTGGGGCGCTTTGCTTACCGATCCTTGTAGAAGTTACTCTGGACATGGGCGGCTACGACATTGACAAGGAGCTATTCGAGCCTTTGCAGACTCTGCTAGACCATAGTAAGGGCGCGAAATCGGTATCCAAGTACGTCGTGACATCGATTCATTTCATGTGTGGTGTTGATGTTCGGCTGTAGGAAATTGACCAAGCGACTGGATGAACTCATCAATGACTCTACGGCTCTCAAGGCTCATCTCATCCCGCAGATGAAGGGCCTGAGCAATCTTGCTGCGGAGCTGGTCAACTTCGGAATCTCTGTTCGTACCTTTCACGCCCATTCTATACACTGTTTCTCATCGTTATACCCAGTTGGCACAACAAATCATGCCACACTTGAGCGATGCTCGTAGTGCTAAATCTCCCTTCCAATTGACGACGTTGCTTTCTCTCGTCAAACAAACGGCCGCCAGCACCGTCGCCAAAGACATCAAACCCGGTGAATCTGTCTGGGATGCTATCAGGGCGTCCATCTCCATAGTAGTCCAAGAAGGTGGCAAGCTACTGCCCCTTGCGCTGGAGTCAGAGAATGTTCTTAAAGGTTGGTTATATTGCCCTGCTTCGTATAAATTAGTGCTGATTGCCTGTAGTTTCTGGCACGGCTCCCTGGATCACCAGGATTGGGGAGATCAAGGCTAGCCTCGCCGTCAATGTCGAAGCTGAGCGTAAAGTGGCTCAACTCAATGACGAGATGCAAGGCCTGGTCCGAAGTCTCAAGACCAAGGATCAGAGCATCCAAGAGTCGGTGGTCAAGATCGAGTTGATGGAGCGCAGGATGGAGGCCGTCAAGAAACAGGCGGATGCTATCGTTGACCTTGAAGGCGAACTTTCGAAGGCTAGGCGGCAAGAGCGTGCGTACGAGGAAGCGATGGAGCAGCTGCAAGCAGACTTGGACACGTTGGAACAAGATAATGCTAAGCTCAAAGCATTGACAGCAGGCCAGGAACGCCAAGGTTTGTTTTGAACTTTTGTAGATCCTCGGTTGCTTACGATTTCACAGCCCCAGGCATGCAACAAGTGGAGACGGAACCCATTCCCATTGAAGGCAGCCTGGAAACGTCGCATCTCTTGGAACAGGTAAATCTAGGTTCTACTTCATTGTCGAAAAATTTCTCAATGGAAATCTCTATAGATTGATGCACTCCGAGGAACTGTCCGTTTCCTTCGCACAGAGAATTCTTACCTAAAAGGTCAGGATCTACTCAGAGAGATCGAGAGCTTGCCACCTCTGCCCGTCCCAGTCAGTCGCATGCCAACGCCGCCCCTCGATCCCTCGGGCCTGTCCGACTCTGAAGATTCGGACTCTGACACTCCACCTCCACCACCAACACTGCGTTCTCTCACGACGGAGACGAAACTACTATACCGGGACGTCATCAAATTCTCGAGCTCACCACGCGTTGTTGATCTTTCCGCCCTGAATGCCAAACGGGCGGAGGCGAAAGGCGGGAAGGTGTGGATGCCCAAGAAGCAAACACCAGCCCATCAAGTGTGGGAACGCAAGATGGAGGCTGAGCGATTGAGCAAGCGGGTGCAAGGTTTGCTTGATAGAGCCGGCAGTCTGTGATGGTTTTCTCCGCTTTTCTTTAGCTTTTGAATCATGTTTATTCCATTCTTGAAAAGGTTATACCCAGCATAATGTATTCCTCGACCTAGACACCCATACCAATTACTCTACATCCATATGTATCTTTCACTTATGGTTCGCCCTTATTCTTGACCAACGAACGTGCATTCGCTACATGAGGAACGTTTTGTCGACAGTAAGGCGCTATAGCCAAGTGGTTACGGCGACAGATTCGAACTTACGAATTCATCTGTTCCTCTTTGAGGGCGCAGGTTCAAATCCTGCTGGCGTCGGTACTGGTTGTAATCATCACGGCTGTTACAATTTTTGCATACTTAACAACTCCGATATTACCCCCACAATATTCCTGAATCCTAAGTATAGGATAGGGTCGTTTTTCTGGAAATCGGATACGTTACTGTTCCCGTATGGTGACCTATTGGCCGTACACTTCTCATACAATAGACCCATGGATAATCCAGAGGAAAACATATGTAACCGCGAATCCGGTTGCCGTGGGACCCAAGTACTAATGATGAGGACCACCAGCCCATGCAGCTGGCGTCGGACTCTCCTCAATTCGCCCGCTCATAACAATTTGCGCACCAATGCCAATTGTGTCCTGCAGTAAATCTTCTCCCCGCAATTGCAAACCATCCCCTAAATGGGCCCCACGCTGCTGACTCTGACGCTGGCTAGGTGGAACACCAAATAGCGTCTCTTCCGGCACCTCCCCACTGAACCCATCGAAAGAGTCGTCATCAAATGAGTCATCGAAACCATCATTCTGAGCGCCAACGGCAAATGGTTGGACGGGTGCTAGGTTGGCGTCCTCATCGGCCAAGGAATCGCCAGAATGATTGGAAGAACCGAAAGAATCATCCGAGTCCTCGCGGCCGCTAGCGGATGTCGTTAACATGAATGGAACACCTGGGTGGGCGGTGTTCCCCATGTCGTCCATTGAGTCCGAGTCAGAATCAATGTCCAATTGTTCATGCCTATGAACAGGAGTGATTGGTCCGTCGGCATTTGCATGATGCGGAGGAGTTGAAAGTATATTGAGGGCCTGCTCAGTCGCCTTGTGCGAGCGTAGACGTAGCCCAGGAGTGGAGGCGGTTCCGACCGTGGAAGGTACGTTGAGCCCCACTCTGTGCATCATGCTCTCCAGGCTTGAATCAAGGACAATGCTATCACTAGTATCCATGCCATAGCGGTTGTAGCGTGAAAGCGAGGGCGGTGTGGGCATTGTGCTTAGAGTGGATTCAACTCTGCTGTGTAAATAACCATCCCGTGTGGCGTTGCCGCTCCTGTATTGGATGTCTCTCACCAGGTCGCGTGTTATTCTCGCTGAGGCCTCCTTCGTTGGAGTTTGGCCCAGCTTCAAAAGGCCAAGTTCAGCCAAAGAACGTGGTGGACGGGCAGGCGACATCATGACCGGAGGTGACATGCCTGGAGGCAAGCCATCGAAAGAGTCATCATCGTCGGATTGTTGAGCAGGAGTTGCATGACCACGGCGTGAAGAAGGCTGCCCCCTTCGATAACGTTGAGGTGTCGTTACCGAAGGGTCTCGGAGGTCGACTACACCATCCCAATTTGCTGGATTTTTGTCGGGGGATAAAAATGGATTGTACTTCTTGGGCACTGGTGTTTTGGGTTTCACGCGGTATTTGAGGGGCGAAACGTTTGCAGAGCTTGTGCCCGTTGCCGACGCGTCAGACGGGTAAAGATTATGGCGTAAAACATTGCGTAGCAAAGGTCCGCTCATATCTTTCGATTTGCCCTTGTCACTGCGGGGAATATCATGATTTCCTCGCCTGGGATTAGGTGTCGGTTCATCTAAACGCAAGGATGGTTGATAGCTTGATGTTGACGGCCCTAAGATGCTTTCGTCCTCTACAGAGGACTTTTGGAAATCCCGACCCATTTGCACTAGAGGGGAATCTAGTGAGGCAGTCCATGAAGGATCTCCATAACTGTCCGCTATCGAATCATCTGCGAATTTTGTGACCCGTGCCGTTGCTGGAGTGGAGGAGAATGCGCCATGCCCAGGCATGAACGATCCATTTGTCGATGTTATGCTAGGCTCGTAGATATGGGATTGAGAAGCGTCAACTTGGGGGGTAGATTGATCCTGTGTAGTTTCCGAAGCTATCTCTGGTTGCTCGGACTCTTCGTTCACCGTCGAGTAGTCATCGTAACTTGGTATTCGGATTTGTGCGGCCTGCTCATAGAAAGATGTCCAGAACTAAGGGAACCAATGAGAACATGGCATTATTGGTTCACGTAGTGGATGATTGACGCACTTTTGCGGCCTCCCTCACAGGCTCCGTAGTTACCGCATATCGTTTGAGCGCAGGTAAAACCTTGTTCGCCAACACATGATGTATTTTGGAGAAATTTTCGTCAATATTCTAACCGATTTTGATTAGCTCCTTCTCGGATTGCCCCTCGAAGCTTCTGACCTGCAGCTTCAGAGTAATCAGTTGCTCCATCTGCTCGATTTGGTCGAGCACTGGGGCTGAAGCGTCGAGCCCAGGAACATTTATTGATGTTGGATCTGAGCTTGGTTGCCATCTAGGAGGATTTGGTGGAATTTCCCGTCGTGTCTCTGTCATTGCTGCACCACTAGATGGAAGATGGAGAGAGAGTTGTTGAGCCTGTTCAACGCGTCGCGTCACATGTGACAGTACGCAACCGTGACTGCATAAATGTACCGCGATGGGTCGTGAAGCTTGAAGACTTGAATATTCATTTCTACCGCGTTGCTTGCTAACGTTACATACAAAATTGCGCGTCTCATATACAAAAATAATCTGTATCATGAAGTCGTGAACGCTGTGCTGAGTTACATACAAAATTGCGCGTCTCATATACGAAAATAATCTGTATCATGAAGTCGTGCACTGTGTCAGCACAGCGTTCACGTAATCCGCCATAATACGGTGAGTAGCTGCAGATGGTGTTCTATAACAGTGGTGAGCATCGCAATCGTGATCCAAAGCTGAACGCCTTACCCTGGGATCCAGTAGAATGAGTGGTCGGGGTCTGCGCAGGCGCCGACAGTGGTTTCGCTGTTGACTGTGCACGCTCCCGGGTTTGTGTACCCGAAAGCCTTGTACCCTGGAGTTAAGCCCAGGACTCCGGTCCAAACATTCGAGAGGTCCACATAGCCTATGTTGAGTCCTAAACCACGTAGAGATTGTAACTCGGAGAAGACCTGCTGTTTGAAAGCCTCTCCTTGGGCGGTCTTTGTCCCACGACCATAGTTGTCCACAATCAGGATGTTACGTGCGAATACCGGAGAGGAGGAGGCAACGAGGATGTTGTATGCAATGTTCTGCGCGACCATATCAAGATCTATCAAGTATTCCAGTTGTAAGAGTAGGTTAAACGCATGTTATGTCACCATACCTGCGCCCTCTTCAAAATCACTGTCATGGTGCGTTAGATGGAGGGGACAGCTGGATTACTGGCAAAAGAAGCTTACTTGATGCCAAAGAAAATAGTATAAAGGGTAGTATCGGGATCGTATGTGGTGGATTGACCGATAAACATGTTTACTAGACCCGAGATGTTGCGATTAGATCACGCAGAGAAGAACACTTATTGAAACCCACATTGACCAATAAAATCGCGTGCGTTCCCAAAGTTTTTGTCAGGATACTGGGAAGCATCTACAACTGCCCCAGCAGCCTACAGCGATCCTTGACTCAGTGGGGTAAGGCGCACCAAGCATTCTGTCAACATACCGCATAGTCTTTAACTGTAGCACCAACACTCTTGGCCAGGTTTTCGACCCAGACTGGACCGTTGCTCATTCGTCCACCAGCCATAGGGTTCGGAGGAAGCAAAATGGCCGGCTGCAGGGGAGATCCATCTTGTACACCACCGTCTGAATAAGCGTCCTGAACAGATCCCGTCAGAATATATCATCAATATATCCAGTCAAGCACGTACACCAAACGACACGATCGTCTTGAAGGTGTTCAGGGGCGGCAGACCAGCGTTGACATCTGCAGGGGCTCCCTCCAGGGTTCCACACTTCGGCTTCACAGCCAGATGGACCTCTTGCAACGACTCTCTCTGCACTACGGCCGCAGAAGCGATAGAAATCGCTGCGAGAACGGATACCGCAGTGAAGCGCATCTTTGGGTCTTCAGGAAAGGTGCTTTCAAATTTCAGGACATCCCTCTATTTATCCCCGTCATTTGCTACTTGCTTAGGCCATCCTGAGGGCCGAACAAGCGTCTCATAGTAAGCAAGCTTCCGTGCCTAGTATATCAGCTGAACACCTCACTAAGAACCGGCATTACTCAACTCCGTACATTTTCCGGTGCGCCATTTGTGAATTATGTCTCGCGATATGGAGGAACTAACGTGAAGCGGGGCTCGCCAACCTCGAAGAAAGATAACGCAGTGTGCTCTGCCATGTTTCACATGATACACGTACATAGATGCACAAGATGCTGTAGCCGCTGTAATCAAGGAATCAAAATTCAAGAACCCAATTTCGTACTACATAGCGATACGGTATCGACCGATCGCAACCCTCGGTGAAGCGTCATGAGCTCATAAACTCCCCAAACTGGGAGTATGCAGGGTGATCACGGTCACACTTGTCGCAGGGAAGGTGTAGTTGAACCTATCCGGATGGGGAATGGCAAAACTGGATGCAATAGGGATAATCAGTTCAGGCTCCTCGATGGTGTTCGACACGTTGAATACGCCTGATATAGGGCTGAGGCCAGGGGAGCTGATCGAGGTGGCAGTTCCGAAGCCAGTAATCGGAAAGTCTAAAAAGATGTTTGCGACAAGGTCTGTAGTGCCCGTGTTGGACACCTGGTCCGTACAAGCGATGTAAGTCGGCAGATCTTCGCGTGATTGAACTATGTTATAGCACCTTCAGGAAGACAGCACTCGTCTCATTGCTGTAACTAGCCACCCAGAATAAGGGCTCAGAATCCGCAGTCGAAGCCGGCGACGTCTTTAGAACATGGGTTCCACGGTTTAAGCTAAACATCTGAATGGGCAGGTGATCAAAACGCTGAGTATTGTGATCGAAAGAAGACAAACCTGTTGAACATAGTATGAAGTGGATTTCACAACATGACTGGCGTCATATGTTATGATATCAGGTGTCCACTGATAGTTTCTGATATGTTGGAAGCTGCACAAGATAGGGAAGAAGATCGTCATTTCCATCATCCATTCCACTATTTGGGAATTTACCTTGGCGCATCTGGGAAATGATGGACATTAGCGACTCGGAAAACAGGATAAACAGCAGCACTGA